CTGATTACCTAACAAAACCCTGCTTCCCCTGAGCCCCCTCCAGGTCTGCAGTGGTGATGTCTCAGAAAAGGTAGGCATTTCCTACAGTCCCAAGGGGGTAAGTCATCATTGGTCAAAACCACGGGTCAGCAAATCACAACCTGCTAGCCAGGTCTGGCCTGCCATTTTTCTCTTTTCTTTTCTTCTCTTTTTTCTTTCTCTTTTCTTTTTTCTTTCACTTTTCTTCCCTTCCCCTTCCTTCCTTCCTTTTCTTTCTTTCAAAAGAATTTTTTATTCGTTTCTTTGAGAGAGAGAGAGAGAGAGATTCGTTTCTTTGAGAGAGAGTGAGAGAGAGAGAGAGAGAGTGCAAGCGTGCACAAGTGGCAGGGAGCGCTAGAGGGAGAGGGATCCCAGGACTCTGGGATCATGACCTGAGCTGAAGGCAGATGCTTAACCGACTGAGCCACCCAAGCACCCCATGGCCTGCCATTTCTTTTTGTAGGGTCATGAGCCATACAAAAAAAAAAAAAAAAAAAAAAAATTAACAGTTTTAAAAGTCTGAAAAAATAAAAATTAAGTATTTTGTAACAGGTAAAAATTATATGAAATTCAAATTTCAATGCTCATAGATAAAAGTTTTCTTGGAACACAACCATACTTATCTCTTTACCATGTCTATGGCTGCTTTTGTTTAGAACAGCAGAGCTGAGTAGGTGTGACAAAGATTGTATGCCCTGCAAAATATTTACTAAAATATTTACTAGCTGGTTAGTCCTTTTCAGAAGTTTGCTGACCCCTATTCTAAACCAAATATGATAACTCCATTCTTTTCCCAGTGTTTATGTTGGGGCAAGCATGAGACTCAAGTTCTGGGCTAGTGGAATACAAGGGGAAGCTTGCCAGTGGACTTCTGGGAAAGATTTTTTTGTGTGTGATAAAAAAGATAGGGAGAATTCTTCCTTCCTGGCCTTAGATGTTACATGTGAGGATGTGATAGAGCTGTGGCAGCCACTTTGTGATCATGAGGGAAAAGTCAAGAGAATCATAGAGAAGTTGACCCAGATACTTTTGGGCTGTTGAATTAACCAACCCTGGAAATTCCTATTTCTAGATTTCTTTTTATATTCAAAATAAATATATTAAGAGTTGTGCATCCTGTTATTTGCAGCCAAACAACCCTAAAGTATATGATTTAAGAAAATGATTTAAAAAATTATGTCATAGTATTTCCTTTTATTGATGATCCATTAATTTTATCCATTTGCGGGCATTTCTCCTAAGTCTTTGCTACTATAAATGATGTCTTTAAAAATATATGTATATTACAAATTCAAATCTAAGGCTTATAAAATATACAGCTCAGCTCATTTTTTTTCTTGCTCGTACCATTACAAAGTTGTCAAGGAAAAGACAAAAGAAAATGACCCCCTTTATTTTTATTTTCTTTTTAAGATTTTATTTACTTAATTGACAGAGAGAGAGACAGCTTGAGAGGGAATACAAGCAGGGGAAGGGGCAGAGGGAGAAGCAGGCCTCCTACTAAGCAGGGAGCCTGATATGGGGCTCAATCCCAGGACCCTGGGATCATGACCCTACCCAAAGGCATATGCTTTTTTTTTTTTTTTTTTAGATTTTTATTTATTTAACAGAGATCACAAGTAGGCAGTGAGGCAGGCATAGAGAGAGGGAGAAGCAGGCGCCCCGCTGAGCAGAGAGCCTAATGCAGGGCTCGATGCAGGGCTTGATCCCAGGATCCTGGGGCCATGACCTGAGCGGAAGGCAGAGGCTTTAACCCACTTAGCCACCCAGGCGCCCCCCAAAGGCAGATGCTTAACGACTAAGCCAACCAGGTGCCCCAAACAACCCCCTTTAAAACATTGTCTTAACAACTCTTTAATGGGATACAAAATACTCCCTTATTCCACACTTGTGACAGAAATCCAAATCCATGCTTATTTCAAATATAAACTCTACCTCATTCCAAAAAGATTTGAGATTTGAGAGAGTTTCCAATAAAGGTTACATCAACAGTCAACAATATTCAATGGGAGTTGTGTGATCAAAGCATTTTTTTCTTCTTTCTCATTAATTAAAAGTATTGAATCAGAGATGATTTAAGTTTTTGAATTATTTACAACTCCAATTAACACTTTGTTAAGACACATCCACATGGTATTAGGGCCAAAATGCTCCAAGTGATGAAATTATATCCCCATTTTTGTATCATTAACTAGTGCATTGTGAAATACTGTTGAAGTAGCAAAGTCTCGCTTTTTCATGTTAGCCACTCTGTCCCCCCACCTTTGACCTACGTCATATCTGCCCCTTCATCACATAGTCGGCTGTACTAATGTCCCTGGATTGCGTAGTCCCAAGTGTAGCAAACAACTTCCTGGAGCACAGGGGTCAGTGCATTGACTCGCTTGCTGTTTGGAAGCCAGATCTGAAATGCCATTGGGTTAACCTACCTATACTGACGGCAGTAATGCAGGACTCTGTAAAGTCCTGTTCTCCAGGCCATCAGATGCCTGGGGAATTACCCTTAGAACAAAGTTTGAGTGGACACCAAGAAGGTGATTTTCCAATTAGTTCTCTGAGCTTCTGTGAGATGTTAAGCTTTTCAACATCTTATATTTCTCTCTTCCTAATGCAACAATAACAGAAAGAGCCACTCCTGTGAGGGAGTTTAAGGTGCCAAGGTGAATTTATAAAATGTGAAGGGAGGTCTATTTCAGGAGAAAGAACTGGTTCCTGCAACTCTCTTGCTTTTAAAAGGAAGCTTCTGGGAAGTTAGGGCCATAAACTTTAGTCTTGAACATTACTCTGCGGAGTTCCAGATCTTTCCTTAGTACTTATATAACTTTGGGCAAGTGACTTGGCCTCTGAGTCTCCCATCCTTTACCAACATCACTGGTGCCAGGCAGGGTGTGAAGCACCAGGATACAGCAAGGAAGACAACAGGACAGAGGCAAATGGATTACGGTTTTTGCAAAAAAGGTAACTTTGCTAATTGGAGGTTAAAAATTTGCACAAATGTTTCCTGGTTATTTGTGAGTTTACACATAAACTGAGGCTAAGGTTGTTGAGGAAATGTGAGGGAAAAAAGAAATGTAGCAGGAGTGGTGAGAATCTGGAGCAGCTTTTGTGAGAGTAGGAGAAGGGCCTCAAGGGAGACAACACAAAGAACAAGGTTGGCTGGCTGGCCGCCCGGTGAGGGCGCAACAGTGACCTGGAGTAGTGCCTGCCCTCACGATGGTGGTGTATGGCCCCACCTGGCTCCCGGAGCAGCAGTGGCCCACGTGGTGGATTGCCCCAGCAGGATCATGGAGTTCAGAGGCTGTGATGCAGTTGCATGAAGGCTGGAGTTTGAAAAGGTTAAATGGCTCACTAAAGGTCACCCAGATTTTTACACAAGCATCCTGGCTCCAACTCCTGTGCTCTTTCTAATCTGTACCCGCATACTGGATCTGTCCTTAATGAGGTTTCCTTTGAGTCTCAAGTTTCTAGCTTGCTAAAGCCACTGGACCAGGGGATACTGAAAGTCCTTAAGTCCTCTAGAATGTTGTAATGGTAGGTTCTGCTCCTGAGTCTGCTTCCCACCAGTTAGGTCACAAGTCACCTTGGGCAAGTATTTCAAACTCCCTGGCTTGTTTCTGTAATTGAGTTTCAGAAACTTGACTTCTAAAGTGCTGATTTTGGGAACCTGGGTGACTCAGTGGGTTAAGGCTCTGCCTTTGGCTCAGGTCATGGTCTCAGGGTCCTGGGATAGAGTCCCACATTGGGCTCTCTGCTCAGCAGGGAGCCTGCTTCCCCCCACTCCCACCCGCCTCTCTGCCTACTTGTGCTCTCTCTCGCTGTGTCAAATAAATAAATAAAATCTTTAAAAAAAATAAAGTGCTGATTTTGTGAAAAGTCAGTTTGTGCTGTTTTTATGAGTGCCCCCATTTACCAGGAGCTCTGGTGCCTTCACAGCGCCTCCTACCTCTGGAAAGTCTGTTCAGTTGTACGTTCAAGTTAAGCACTTGGACTAACACAAGTCACGGGGGATATTTAAGTCTCCCCTCCCCCCATCACTTAAGTGATATTGTCAGTCATCCAACACCGCAATCAAACAGGGCAAAAACAAATTGTAAAAGGAAAAGATAGCACAGTTTAAGGAAAAAAATGCAGTATAGAAAATGAAAATAAGTGAAGACTGAGCCAAAGATATCCGAAGGCCACGACTGAGTTATATGGAGCAGCTAGCTGTCAGTAACAGACTAAGCTTTCCAGTTGAGTAGGTGTTAGCTCTCTGTCTTAGCGAACTGGAGAAAATTCCTTTACTGCCCGTATACAAGATTCTTTGAATAGTGCTTTTTAATAAAATGCCAGAGAGCCACAGAAGTAGCCTATAACTCATTAGGAACTGAAAGATCAGAGAAGCCCGATTTAGAGCCAGTTTTCATCGGTGGGTGGGACCTTCTCCAATGTCATAGGCAAGGATGGATTTCCTTGCGGTAGGCAGAATAAGGAACATTTTGGGGGGTGTGTGAGTGTGTGTGTGTGTGTGTGTGTGTGTTTCCCGGCAATAAGCGAATATATTTTTCATCACCACGTCTCCCGTACTTCTGTAGTCAAATATAAAATAGAGGCCTTGAGTCCCAACACAGTTCACCAGCCCAAAGTCTTCAGCGGGTCCTCCCAACAGCCCCAATCCCCGCCCTGAGTTCCATCTGGGGTCGAGCCTCTCAGGAGTCCTCCGGGAACCTGGAGGAAGGGAAGCAACTCGGGGGGTGCCGGGCTCCCTGTCCTCCAGGTCTTCCAGCTCGAGGGCGCGCGGGCTGGGGGTCCCGCGGCCTGTGCCCGGCCGAGCGCGCCGCCTCAGCAGCGGACTTCCGCTTTCCCCGCGCCGGCCCCGCGCTGCACGCCCCCTGCCGCAGGGGTGCTCGGGGCCCCGGGGGCCGCCGCCCTTTGCGCTCCCCCGCGGGAGGGCGGGGCGGAGGGCCGGCAGGCGGCCGACGTGGGTGTTAAGCGGCCGCCCCGGCAGCGGAGACAGAGCCGAGAGCCGGCGGCGGAGCCCGAGCAGAACGCGCGGCCAACTGGCTCGGCGGTGAGCGCAGCCCCACAACCGCCGCTCCGGTGGCGGCGGGAGGGAGCGGGGCGCGAGCGGGCCTAGGCGGCCGGGCGGCGCGACCTACCGGGGCAGCCGGCGGGCTTCTGGGGTCCGCGGTCCGCGCGTCGTCCAAGCACGCAGGTCGTTACGGGCGCCGTGGGCCGGGGCTCGCGCCGTCCACGCGCCCAGACCGTTAAGAGCGCCGTGGGCCGGGGCTCGCTGGAGACTCCGGGGCTCCGCGGCCTCCTTTCCGTAGAGTCACCTGCCGGGAAGGGTGTCCTCTTTGCCCCTGCGGAGTGTCATCAGGCCTCTGGGCACCGCGCCGCCCGTGCCTGGGCCCGACCGGGGGCGGTTATGAATGGGAGACTCTTTGCAGGTTGTTGGGCTGGAGTCCCAGGACGTGAAAGCCAGGACGAGAAAGTTGGAAGCAGTCTCCCTCGCGGGCCCTGTGCGCCCCGGGATCCGGAGCCTCTGAGCGCGAGTGCCTGGCCGTCTTGTTAGCGGCCAGATGGGCCGGTGTGTTAGCGGCCAGATGGGCCGGCATCTCAGAGCCTTGGGTCCGGCTCTAGGCCTGGGCGGGAGGGCGGCCGGCCGGCTTGAGCCTGTGCTGCAGTCTTCTCGCCCTTGGTGTTACCTGGTGGAGCAGGCGGCCTCAGAGCGTTCTCCCAGGCGAGAAACTCATTTCCCCCGGAGCAGAAGGCTGTGTGGCTGGCGATGTTGTTTGTCTCTCCTGGAGTCGGACCCACGTGTGCTTGCAGGAGAGGTAAAGGGGCGCTAAAAGGATTCAGCTTTTTAACTGGCTCAAGATTGAGTTTTAACTTTGCTGACCAGCCTTGCCTCCCCCAAGCCGAATGTATTTTTCAAGACTTCTTGAAGCCGCTTTCTTAAACCACACAATAATTTGAGTCAGTTGCTGAGTTAATCTGTTTAGTTCCCATCACTGTTTATTTAGTATTTTAGTAATTCTGAGTCGTTACTTGTGGGATTTGATGCATTTAAGTTTGGCTTACCCGAAGGGGTTAAATTCACAGCGATGACACATGGTAGGATCTATGCCTTTCTTATAAACTAAGAAAGAATTGTTGGCACCCCAAGAATTCAACCGATGGAGAAGCCACATGAGTTGGGCCCTGTGTGACTCTCCCCACTTGCCTCCATTTTTTCCTTTAAAATGCAGGGTTCAGTGCTTGTTTTTTGCTTTTCTTTTTGGTCAGGTTGGAATACTCTGGAATTAAGTATTGCTTGGTAGGCACAGACCCAAAAGGCAAGACTTGAGTCCTCTGACTACTTGTATGACCTTGGAAAAGCTCTTGCTTTCTGGCCTCAGTTTTCCATCTGGAAAAGGAAGAGATTGGATTAGGACCCTCATAGCCTTCTCTAGGTACAGGATGGCCACAACCTCGTCAACTGTAGTTATTGATACTGCCTCTCCTGTCCTATCAATAACATAAAATCTATGTTTTGTCTGTTTTACTTAGTTGCTTTTTCAAGTCCAGTACTATGCTTTTGTGGTTGCTAGTTTTACAATTTTTTTTTTTTTTTGCAAAGAAAGCAAGATTCTCGCTGTCTGATCATTCACAACAGGTGTCAAGTGGTTAAAAAAGACTTCTTAGTGGATAAAATTATTTTCCGCTGATCTTTAGGTCCACATTGGCGTTCATTAATAACCCAGCTGGCCCACCACCCTCCAAGAGGTGGCCTGAGTGGGAGCACAAAGGTCTTTAGCGTGATAAATAAAAATTGTTCTTTGTTATTGACAGATAAATCATTTAGTTTGAAAACCACACAGAATTGGTTGCTGAATTGGTTATCTTGATATTGTGTTAATGAGCCACCTTTCCTTTTTTATAAATATCTGTATTTTTAAAGTCCATTTCTCTGTGATAGTTGATTTTTGTCTAACAGTAGAGGAGTAGACTCTAGTTTTCCCAAATTTTTAAGCTCTAGTCCAAACATGCTGAAACAAGATCACTAGGAGAGAGGCCTGGTTATCTGAATATTTTACCGGTGCCCCAGTGATTCTTATCAAACAAATTTAGGATACAGTGTTGCTTCTCAAAATGTGATTGGTGGCCAGTCATTATCAGCCTCATCTGGGAGTTTGTAATGACTGGCAAGGTTTCTGGTCCCACCTGAGGCCTAGCACATCAGAATCTGTATTTTAACAAGGTCCCCAGGTGTTCTGTGTACACGGTTATGGTTGAGAAGGTCTGGAGAGGCCTTTGATGACCACTACTAATGCTTGGTGCTGTGCTCTGTAGTTCTAAGAATAGCTGTCCCATGTGGCTATTTGTGATTGCCTTTACATTATGATAATAATTCTATTATTCACCTTTGATATGGGGGGACCTCCAGCTTAAGGGGCCCGAGGGCTCATCCTGCTGGTGGACGATCAGGAATTGAGACCCACACATATGTCATTTAGCAGAACGCCTAAGCCATTACTTTCCAGACCTACTGATTTGTGACCTCCTAAGAGGGACTCAGCTCAGGCTGCTGTCCGAATTTAGAACTGAGCTTAGTTGCCTGACAGTTCCACTTAGGCCTCTGAAAAACTCTTTTGATATGGCTTGGGTGTCTGTGGTATTTGGCATTCACTTGTAAGATTTTCAGAAGGGTTGGTTGAAATGCTCCCTATGAGTGGCTATAGCTCTGATAACTCAGCTCTGATAACTCACTAAAGGGTTTTGAGTTGTGAGTTTTTCATGGGAAGATGGTGGGCGAGTAGAAGGCAGGCCAATTGCTAAGCTGCACTGATACCTTGACTGCCTTTCTCTTTCTTTCTTTCTTTCTTTTTTTTTTTTTTTTTTTTTTTTTTTTTGGCAAAAGGGAGAACTGATCTCCCAGCTCCTAGAGGTTGAGGTCCCAGTAACCAAGCAGCAGTTCTAGAGAAAGGCTGCAGACGTTTCACTGATGGTGAGCTCTGGTCTCCTTTCAGGGATATGAGACACCCGTCATAAGCTCCGGAGAGTTGCCTTCCACAGAGACCAGCAGAGGAGTGGGCCAACATGAAGTCCAGTCCTGCCATCCAAGCTGCCATTGACCTCACAGCGGGGGCTGCAGGTAATTCCAGGGGAAACCCATCCTCTAGTCTTCGAGTACCTGCTACAAGTGGGATCCAATGAAGGGGTGGTGAAAATATTACTTTTGTCAGTCCCAGAAGCAACATGCTTTCTCCTTAGAGGGAATCCATGTAATCAAGTGTAATATCGTCTTCTAAGAACGGCAGAAGGTAGAGCAGTTCCCTTACAATAAAACTTTGAGTCAGGGAGCAGGGTGGGAATGTCCTCAGTTCACAGCTGGAAAACCTCACAGCTCAGAGGTGAAGTCCTTTGTCCATTGTCACGCAGCTGGGATATGCAGGTGTCGTGGGGTTTCACTCCCAGCCTGGCAGTCTTCAGAGCCCTTGTAGTCCAGAATCCTACTATGCCGTCTGTCCAGGGAAGTCCCACTTACTGTCCTTATTGCTGCCAAGGAAGGAAAGGAGGACACTCTTTAGAAATGTCTTTGGTAACTGAGGCTGATTTTTGACGGTTTCTAAAGCCCTAAAAAGAAAAGAGAGGCCCTAGGATTTGCCAGGGAAGGGTGGGCTGGGCAGGGGCTGAGCCCCAGGGCAGACTGTGGCCTCAAAAGGCACAGGTAAATACTCCTGGGCAGTGCTTGCAACACACAGGCCACTCTTTAGAAATATCACCTTTACTCAGCCTGAGGCCATCTAACTGGAAGTGTGTGCGTGGTGACTTGGTTCTCTAGGTTCCTGTATTATTTTAGCACCAGAGGAGTGCTGGAATGCTCCTATTTCCCAGATGAAAACCCTGGTTTACCCTTGCCCCTTACACTAATTCCCTTTAAAAAAAAATTATTTTTTTATTAACATATAATGCATTATCAGCCCCAGGGGTACAGGTCTGTGAATCGCCAGGTTCTTACACTGACTCTTATAAGGGCCTCAGCTCCTGGGATTGGAGAGGCCAGAGGGGTGAGTTGCCTGTTGTCCTCTTATCCAGGACATCTGGATAAGATGACCCCTCCCAGGTCAACAGATCAGGTGCAGCAACAGGGCCACCCTCATCATCCCACCATTCCCTTAACTGTGTAAAAGAAGTTACAGTTTAGAGAACAAAGTATTTTCTCCTGAACCAAAGGTCGATGGAGGTAGGCTAATTTAGAAAGGCTATAGACAGTGCATTACAGACTGATAAGAAATACAGGCACCAGCTCCCAGTTTAGAGACCACAGGAGTGTCCTGGCCCAGGAGGAGGGGAAACTAAGGGTGGCCTAGGTATCCACTGGCTTCTTGCCTGCTGAAGACCTTGGGTCAGTCCCATACCAGCTGCAGCTGGTAACCCATGGTCCAACCAATGGCCCCCGTGCACCACTCCCCACCCCCATGTCAACCCCCAGGCCACATTGGGGTGACCCTGACCATTGGAACGGTGGACCCATTTGCCTGCCTCTGGCACCCTCTTAACGGTCCTGCGAATGCTCTGGGCTCAGTTTTTGTCTCTACCATAGGGTGGTATTTAACCACAGGAGAGATTCTCAGCTTTTGGAATTAAATGTCTGTCAGTCAGTCTGCCAAAGACGTAGAATCTGTTGTGATAGAATTTTCTTTTTCCTGGAAAGGCATTTCTCTGTGGACAGGTATTTGGGTGTGACTTATGTGCACCCATATATGTGTATTGTTGGGAGTCTGGTGTGTAAGGCATTTGGGGGCATGCTTTTTTAAAATATTACCATGTTTTGGGCCCGTCTACATATGGCCTTTAATTCTCCTGATAACTAGTTGGGATTTCTTCCTGCCCTGGTCTCAGAGGGTCACCCCTCACTGATGTAGCATGGCCCTGCAGCATCTGACTTTGGGGGACAACAGGTTCCTTGGCAGGGGTCCGTGCCAGGTGGACCTGGCAGGTGAGGGGTGAGAGGTGAGGGACTCCTTGGCTGGCAGGGGAGGCTTGTATTAGTGACCTGAGAACTTCTACTGGGAGGTGCATGGCGTGCAAACAGGAAGCCATAGCCCCACTTCGGGTGGGTAGCAGTCTCCCAGTGTGGAGCTAGGAGGGCCTGCAGAGACCTTTGGCTCTGATGCTCACTGTATAGTATAAAGGACACCCTGAGAGGCCGAGTGCGTTTGCCCATGATTGTGCAGCTAGATGGTGTCCAGACAGGGCTAGGACGTTGGTTCCTTGGTTTCTTGACTGGTGCTGTTGTTGTCTTTGTTTTAAAACTCCATAATGGGCAACAGCCCTCCTGGGGGTGGAGGTTAATCTCAAGCCTCTGCTGCCAGATGTCTGGAGTGGGACATTGGGCCATTGTGGACTGAGGTGATCTCGGTGTAGTATACACATGTTCTTTTCCGTGTCCCTCCTTTTCTTTGAAATCGACGTCCCCCATCCAGCAGGTTTTTGGTCCAGTTCATCTGCTATAAAATGCTGGGAAGCTGGCACTGCCTGTCTGCTAGTGTAGGAGAAATTCCAGAAATCCCAAGCAGCTAGGATGGGGGAGGATTTGAAGAAGATAGGTCATTGTATAATGTTGAAATGAGGCAGTGTGGAGCTCAAAAGTTAAATTCCTTCATGAGGAACCTTGGTCTCCCTTTAAAATAAGGTAGGTTTTTTCCTTTTTTCTTTCCTTTTTTTTTTTTTTTTAATACAGTAGTTTTTTGACAACTATAACCTGCTCCCTGCTTTGACTTTGTTGCAGTATGCCTTAACTAGCCTAGCTTCTCAGTGTGACCTAGACCATTGACATTTATCCTCTCGTGCCAAAATTCATGATTCTCTTGGCCATCTGGATGTCTTCTTTGGAAAAATGTCTATTCAGGTCATCTGCCCATTTTTAAATCAGAATGTTTAGGTATTTCTTGTTGTTATTGTTGTTGTTGTTTGGTGTTGACTTACAGAAGTTCCTTATATATTTTGAATATTAACCCCTGGTCAGATGCATCATTTGCAAATATCATCTCCTGATGCATCCTTTGGAAATATCCCCTCCCATTCATTAGGTTGTCTTTTTGTTTTGTTGATGGTTTCATTCACTATGCAGAAGTGTTTTATTTTAGTGTAGTCCCAATAGTTTGCTTTTGTTTCCCTCACTTTAGGAGACCTATCTAGAAAAACGTTGCTAGGCCAGTGTCAGAAGTCTTACTGCCTATGTTTTCTTCAGTTTTATGGTTTTATGTTTGTTTTATGTTCAGTTTTATGGTTTCAGATCTCACATTTAGGTCTTCAATCCATTTTGAGTCTATTTTTGTGTATGGTGAAAAAAAGTTTCCTTCTTTTGCATGTAGCTGTCCAGTTTTTCCAGTACCATTTATAGAGGAGACTGTCTTTTCCACCATTGCATATGGCTGCTTCTTCTGTTGTGGAGTAATTGACCCTGTAAGTGTGGGTTTATTTCTGAAACTCTTTATTTATTTTTAAAGATTTTATTTATTTATTTGACAGACATCACAAGTAGGCAGAGAGGCAGGCAGAGAGAGAGGGAAGCAGGCTTCTCGATGAGCAGAGAGCACGATGCAGGACTTGATCCCCGGACCCTGGGATAATGACCTGAGCCAAAGGCAGAGACTTAACCCACTGAGCCACCCAGGCGCCCCTGAAACTTCTTTTTTAAAGATTTTATTTATTTTACAGAGAGAGAGAGAGAGACCACAAGCAAGGGGGAGTGGCAGGCAGAGGGAGAGGGAGAAGCAGTTTCCCCAGAGAGCAGAGGAAGCCTGATATGGGACTCAATCCCAGGACCCTGGGACCGTAATCTGAGCTGAAGGCAATCACCCAACAAACTGAGGCACCCAGGTGCTCAGTGTGAGTTTATTTCTGGGCCTCTATCCTGTTCTTTTGATCTATGTATCTCTTTCTGTGGCAGTACTATACTGTTTTGATTACTACTGCTTTGCAGTTTTTTGTTTGTTTTTTTTTTTTGGAAGGAAAAGGTTTAATATAAAGATTCAAGATTCACATCAATATAAATGATAAAGTTACCTTTCTCTTGATAAGAGCTCAACTTTTGCCTTTCTCGTTTTAATGTTTCTTGCCATATTTTCCCTACGTTTTCCTGTTACTTTCACCCCATCTCTTCCTGTCTATGGTCCTATTGACGGATTCCCTCCCTCTCCCCAGTAGTTTACACTTGATCTTTAGCAAAAGGCCAAGAGGTGATCCCCAGTAGTTTAGAAACTATACTTCTACATAAGCTACAATGATTAAATTCATTTTAACACACTCTTTAACTTTACCAACATCTAGGTAGTATCCGTAACCTTCTTTTCCTATATTCCCCAAGTGTAGTGTTAGCTGTTCATCTTCCTGAGTAGAAATGTGGCATTTTATTTTCCTGTTTTCCTTTTTTGATGTGGGAGAAAGATAATCTACATTGTGTGTATGTGTTTATAGTCACCCCAGATTGCTAAAGTATATCCTCCAGTGACTCTTTCAAAGAGGGTATGCAAGAAACAAACTGTGAATTCTTTCATATCAGAAAAAATGTCTTTGTTTTACCTTCAAAATAAAATGCCACTTTGGCTGAATGTAGGAGTTTTTCCCTGCAGAAATTTTATGTTACTGCCCCATTTACTTCTAGCATCCAGAGTGTCCAGTAAGTCTGCTGTCCGCCTGATTCTTGTTCCTTTGTAGGTTCACGCTCTTTCTGGAAGACTTTATGATTTTTTTAATCCTTGGAATTCCCAGATTTCTAGGAGTCTCTGTTCATCAATCTTACTGAGTACTTAGTAAGCACTGACAGTCTCAAGACTTGAATTTTTCTTGGCACCTGGGTGGCTCAGTTGGTTAAGCAACTGCCTTTTGGCTCAAATCATGATCCTGGAGTCCTGAGATCAAGATCCAGCTCCCTGCTCAGAGGGGCGTCTGCTTCTCCCTCTGACCCTCCCCCCTCTCATGCACTCTCTCTCTCTCATAAATAAATAAAATCTTAGAAAAAAAGACTTGAATCTTTCTTTAACTCTGGGAAGTTTTCTTCAATTATTAATTATTTCCTCTGCTCCATTCCCTTTATTATCTTTTTCTGGAATTCCTGTCAAATGGATATTGGAGCTTCTGGATCTCTTCTCTATTTCTGGATCTTTCTTTATGATCTCTTTGGCCATTTGCATTGTAACCTTAGAACATTCTTCAAGTCGATCTTCTAGATCATTCCTTGTCTCTCCAAGTATCTCTCTTCTGCTATTCAGAGCATCTATGGAGTTCTTTATTTCCAAGACCTCTGGATGATAATTTTTAATATTTCTATTCTCCTCTTTTATCTCTTTGAAGTTATTAATTCACTTCTAAAATTTTCTTCTCATATATTATCTGTTTCTTTAGGTGTTGGCTACTTTGTTTGCGGAGTTTTGTGTCTGTTTTCCTTCAAACTATGGTGATTCCTGATGGAGTACTCAAATTTGTACATAAATGCCTATTCTGCTTACCAGAACTTCTCTCTAGTGACTTTGAGGGAGAGGCCAAACACAAGGTTACACAGACTGTCCCAATTCCTTGATTTATGAGCATCTGTTTCCTCTTTTTTCTGGGGTTTTTGTTCCATCCAAGGTTTCACCTATTTTTATCTGAGTCCCAAGCCCCATAATTTTAGGCAAATTCTTTAAGTCCATTGGAGGCCTCTCTTTTCTCAGTCTGGAAGGCAAGTCTTTACATGTTCTACTTCAGAGTCCTCTCCTTCGTCCCACGATAAAACTACTTCCATTTCCTACCCTGAACTAACTTCCTCCTCTGGCTCAGAATCTTCTACTTCTTTAGTTACAATAATCTCCAAGGCATCTTTGGTCATTTCCTCAGCTCCATGCTTCATGTTTACCACAGTATGGCATTGGAAGATTGAATCCTTTCCTCACATAATTCCAAAGCCACCTCTTCTCCCTTCTTCCCAGCCTTCAAGCCTCCTGCCTCCCTCCTCTTCTAACTCTGAGCCGTCTTCCTCTCGAGCTTGTTTTTCCTTCCACTCTGAAGATCCTTCCTCCTGAGTCTCTAAGTTTTTCACCTTCTCTGGCTCAGCAACCTTTACGTCTTTAACAAATCGCTCAAGCCATCACCAGTTTCCTCCCCAGTTCCATGCTTTGAGTTTACTAGTTTTATCTACTTTTTCTTGAATTTGTATCTTCCTCCTTTCTTTTTTCATTTTGTGGGAGTGTATCTTTCAGTAATGCTTTCATAAATGATTTCTGGCTGGTAAATTTGATGAGGCTTTACATATCTGAAAAGGTCCTTCACCACCCTTAAGACTTAAATGCTCATGTAACTGGATGTAGAATTTAAATTCAAAATCACTTTCCCTTAGAATGTTGAAGACATTAACTCCATTGCTTACTAATATTCAGTGTTGCTGATGAAAAGTCTGCTGCCAATGCAAGTCTTGCTCCTTCATCTTCTCTGGAGGTTTGTAGAATATTCGCTTTATTCTTTAAATTGAGAGGGATTCTTTTCCCATCTTTGCTTTGACCAGTTCATCCTCTGCAATGTCTCTGTTCTCTCCTGTTACTTCTGTAGGATGCTCTATCTCCGCGTCCATCAACTGTATTGCTTATGTCTCCTTCTCCACCCCCCATGACTTTGTGTTTTTGTGATTCATCATGGGACAATTCCTTACCTTGGTTTGTCTTGTATGCTTTAGCTTCATCTAATTTGCTGGTTACTTCTTTTCTTCTAAAAATCAAATTTTCAATATCCTCAACTATTTTAGAGTGTGCTTCTTCTATTTTCTTAATCCTGTTTTTTATGTGACTATATCTTTTATTTTTTACTACTCCTTTTTGGCACTAGAATTCTTTGGATTTTTCATTCTAAAATTTCCTTCAGGTCATATTTTAAAAAGGATTTTAAGTTATTTACTTGAAAAAGAGAATGAGCACAAGTGTGAGTTCAAACAGTGGGGGGAAGAGGCAAGAGGGGTAGGGGTGGGGGAGAAGCAGACTCTCTGCTGAGCAGGAAGTCCAATGTGGGGTTGGATCCCAGGACCCTGAGGTCATGACCTGAGCTGAAGGCAGATGCCTAACTGAGTCACCCGGGCACCCCTCCTACAGGTCATTTTTAAGAAATTGTCTTATCTTTTCAACCACTAAGTCCCGGTTTTCCACAAGCCTTTAAACTTGATCATGATAACTACTGCTGTGTCTCTGCATTTTCAGTCTAATACCTGAGCCATCTTCTGGTCAGTTTCTGTCAACCAAATTCTTTCCCCATGGTGATAGTTTCCTATTTCTTTGTGAAAGTCTAGTAATTCCTTCCTCCTTCCTTTCTTTCTCTCAAGATTTTACTTTTAAGTAATCTTTTTACCCAATGTAGGGCTTGAACTCATAACCCTAGGATCCAGAGTTGCATGCTCTTCTGACAGCCAACCAGGCGTTGCAAGTCTAGCAATTTCTGACTGTACATGAGACATTGTTGATACGTATTCAAAACAGAAGTATTTTATTTTTCTGAAGAGTAATTTTTGTTTTTTCAGGCCTGCTAAACTCCCAAACTAAAAAATCTTAAAAATATCTATATGTATCTATATACATCTATATATACATATCATCCAGTGAGGGTCTTCACCTACAAGGAAGTTATCTGCAGAGCAGTATTTGGTCTTCAGCACAGCTGTGTCTCAGTGCCTTGACAAGAGATCCAGCCTGAAGACACACACACACACACACACACATGCACGCACGCACGCCAAGGTCTTTGTAGTGTATCTAGAAATCTGGGATTGCAATACCTCCATCTTTGTTGTTCTTTCTTAAGGTTGCTTTGGCTACTCAAGAACATTTGTGCTTGGGGCACCTGGGTGGCTCAGTGGGTTAAGCCTCTGCCTTCGGCTCAGGTCATGATCTCAGGGTCCTGGGATCGAGCCCCTCATCGGGCTCTCTGCTCAGCAGTGAGCCTGCTTCCTCCTCTCTCTCTCTGCCTGCCTCTCTGCATACTTGTGGTCTCTGTCTGTCAAATAAATAAATAAAATCTTTAAAAAAAAAAAAAAATTTGTGCTTCCATACAAATTTTAGGATTATTTGTCTGTTCTTTGAAAAATGCTGGTGGTATTTTGGTAGGGATTGCATTGAATCCATTGATTTGCTTTGGGTAACATGGACATTTTAACAATGTTTGTTCTCCCAATTCATAATCATGGTACAGTGTTCCATTTGTGTTGTCTTCAATCTCTTTCTCATTGCTGTATAAGTTGCAGAGAACAGGTCTTTTACCTTCTTGGTTAAGTTTATTCCTAAGTCTTTTATTCTTTTTGTTGTAATTATATGTGGGATTGTCTTCTTAATTTCTTTTTCTGCTACTTTGTTATTAGTGTAAAAGAAATGCAGCAGATTTCTGTATATTTTTGTATCCTACAAATTACTTCATTTATCAGTATTTATTTATTTGAGACACGTGGCAAGAGAGGGAACACAGCAGGGGAATGGGAGGGGAAGAAGCAGGCTTCCCGCCCAGCAGAGAGCCTGATATGGGGCTCGATCTCAGGACCCTGGGGTCATGACCTGAG